CCACCTCAGACTCCCAGGTACCTGGGACTACAGGTGCATGCCACCACACATGGATAATTTTTTTTCTTTTTCCTTTTATTTTTTTCTTTCTTTTTTCTTTTCTTTTTTTGTAGAGATGGGATTTCGCCTTGTTGCCCAGGCTGGTCTCAAACTCCTGAGCTCAAGGGATCCGCCTGCCTCGGCCTCCTGAAGTGCTGGGGTTACAGGCATGAGCCACCACATCTGACCATCTTCTGATTCTCTTACTTAATGGTGAATGGTGATTTGACTGTAGATGGCCTGTAGTCCCTTTCCAGTCACAGTTGCTAGAGTTGTAGGTTGTAGGGAGAAACTCACATCAATTAGTCTTCATCATGGTTTGGCTGTTGTTGTAATGGTTTTTACAGTTAGTGCTTTTTCTTTCTAAACATGTGTTGTTTTTAACTTACATGTTGATTTTCTTCCACCTTTAATATTTTCCAATTCCCTTCTAACAGAGGCGGACATCTAACCATGGTCATGCCAGGAAAAGAGCCAAGGTGAGAGCCCTTCCTCTGTAGCTTCTTTTCTAATGTTATTAGTAATACATTTCACAAGTGGACTTGTCATGAATATCTAGTTTGTTCAGATTATGTAGGCAGAGTTTTCTCACCTGTACTCTGTACCCCAATTGTGAACCTGCATAATACACACATGTACACCTACACATACACACCTCTAATGGAAACTGTATGCATACATAGGTGTATACACATTTGATGCCTGAAAGGCTGCCCAGCTGGAGCCTTCCACAGAGCCTGAAAGAACTGGATACTAGTTGTGCTGAAATATCAGTTTCTCTGCTCACTCCTAGCTTCTCTAGGAGAATGGCTGCTTATATGAGTCTTACAAACCCTTCCTTTTTTTTTTTCCCTTGTAAATTTTCTTTAAGATTAAATCCTGCCCACTAAGAAAAATGACTCAACATTTTTGGATATCCTAAAAATACAGGCTTTTTTTTTTTTCCTGCTAATGTTTTACTTTTTTTTTTTGGAGTTTTTTGCTCTGTTGCCCAGGCTTGAGTGCAATGGCGCAATCTTGGCTCACTGCAACTTCCGCCTCCCGGGTTCAAGCGATTCTCCTGCCTCAACCTCCCAAGTAGCTGAGCTTATAGGCATGCATCAGCATGCCCGGCTAATTTTGTATTTTTAGTAGAAACGGGGTTTCACCATGTTGGTCAGGCTGGTTTGGAGCTCCTGACCTCAAGTGATCCGCCTACCTCAGCCTCCCAAAGTACTGGGATTACAGGCATGAGCCACCACGCCCAGCTTCGAACTCTCAACCTCAGGTGATCCACCTGCCTCAGCCCCACAAAGTGCTCAGATTACAGGCATGAGCCACCATGCCTGGCTATTTTTCTTTTTTTTTTGAGATGGAGTCTCACTCTGTAGCTGGAGTGCAGTGGTGCGATCTCGGCTCACTACAACCTCCGCCTTCCTTGTTCAAGTGATTCTCATGCCTCAGCCTCCCAAGTAGCTGGGCTTACAGGCACACACCACTATGCCAGGCTAATTTTTGTGTTTTTAGTAGAGATGGGATTTTGCCATGTCACCCAGGCTGTTCTTGAACTCCTGGGCTGAAGCGATCCACCTGTCTTGGCCTCACAAAGTGCCAGGATTACAGGCATGAGCCACTGTACCCAGCTAACTTAATGTTTCACTTTTTAGGGGCAGGAAGAGGATTTTGCTTTTAATCATTACGTGATACAATTAGCACCTCACAGATTATTTTAAGCAGAGTTATCAGGGAAGACTACATGTGTTAGTATGTGATAGGTGTCTAATTTAGCTGGGAAGCAGTAAAGTATTAAATTTTTCTTGCATTGGGAAGAATTGCCTCCAAAAGTAATAATTAAGGTTGGCTACTCTGTTCCTCCAAAAAAATAATGATAGAATTTGGAGAGTGGCTCAGCTACTGTGTGACTTGAGTTTGAAGAAGGCCAAGAACTAAAAATTGGCTCTGTGGCTTGTCTTGCGTGGCCTGATCCATAGTGATGGGCTTGATGTTAAAGTTCAAAACAGAGGTTACTTAGTGCTACTTTAGTTCCTCTCAAATTTTTTGGGATAAGTAAGACAGCTATTATCTCCATTTTACAGATGAGGAAACTTGGGCTATAGGGATTGAGTGGCTTAACAAAGTGCATTCAGTAGGAAGTGGCAGAATTAGGCATGAAGTTAATTCTTCAGGCTCACAAGTTCTTTCCTCTGTACTGCACTACCTGGAGCATACCTGTCATGTTTTGTGCTTTGGTGTTTATTGTAATCCTTGGTTTTATTTTGTATTGAGTCTCAGTAAATGTTTCTAGGTAGATTTCTGATGAGTCACCCTACAGTTTTTAGCTTTGGGTGGGTCACTAGGAGAGAAATGACTTGCATAGTGGATTTCTGATATTTTTAGGATTCACCAGCTAGCAGAAGTAAAGCAGGCAAGTTAGGTTTTATTGCATTAAATCCCAAGTATTAATAAAGTTTTATCTATCTTTTTTTTGTTTGTTTGTTTTTGGTTTTTTGAGATAGGGTCTCACTCTATTGCCCAGGTTGGAGTGCAGTGGCATGATCACAGCTCACTGCAGCCTCAACCTCCCAGGCTCAAGCAGTGCTCCCACCTCAGCCTCCCGAGTAGCTGGGACCACAGTCATGTGCCACCATAGCCAGCTAATTTTTTTTTTTTTTTTTTTTTGAGACGGAGTCTTGCTCTGTCGCCCAGGCTGGAGTGCAGTGGCGCAATCTTGGCTCACTGCAACCTCCGCCTCCTGGGCTCACGCCATTCTCCTGCCTCAGCCTCCCGAGCAGCTGGGACTACAGGTGTCCGCCACCACACCCGGCTAATTTTTTTGTATTTTTAGTAGAGACAGGGTTTCACCATGTTCGCCAGGATGGTCTCGATCTCCTGACCTCGTGATCCGCTCGCCTCGGCCTCCCAAAGTGCTGGGATTACAGGCATGAGCCACTGCGCCCGGCCAATTTTTAAAAAAAATTTTTTTAGAGATAGGGTCTCACTATGTTGCCCAGACTGTGACCTCCTGGCCTCAAGTGGTCCTCCTACCTCGGCCTTCCGAAATGCCAGGTTTACAGGTGTGAGCCACCATGCTTGGCCTGTCTTTCTCTTACTCTTTTCTTAGACACTTCTTTCCATACCCTTGGCATCTCAGGTTTAGAGTCATTTAGCATTTATTGTCTACTGTATGCTAAGCACTATTTAATGATATGTATATTTACATACTATATATTATCTAATTCTCACAACAGGTTTTTAGATAATTTTAGGTATTTATCGCCATTTTCCTGAGGAAAAACAGAGACCTGGAGAGGTAAGGTAATTTGCTCAGGGTCTCATAGCTTGTAAGTACAAAACCAGGAGTTGAAGCTAGGACTTTTGGCTCTCAGCCCCATTGTGTTTCTACTATGCTATGTTGATGTGTATTTGCATAAAGTTCTGAGACTGAAATTAGAGTACGGGGCTGAAGAGAGAAGAGGGCTAAGTGAAATGGTTTCCTACCATCTGTCCACGTAGCCAGTTTGTACATGTCTACTGTTGTAAGCAAGAGAAGTATCTTTCAAGTGAATCAGGAACTGGTGAGTAGGACCCATCCCTTGTTTAATGGAAACAGCAAGTAACAGAGCCAAAGAGGACACTTTTCATTCAGCCAAAAGCTTTCTGAATATTCACCAAGGGAAGAAAGATATAAGATATATATAAAAAAACAAAACTGAAAATTGTTTTTTTCAGTCTAATTCCAAGCTAAAGTTGGTGCGCAGCCTGGCAGTGTGTGAGGAGTCCTCCACCCCATTTGCTGATGGGCCATTAGAAACCCAGGTAGGTCATTTGCAGGAGTAAGTGTGGCTTTTGCGCTTGGCAGTTTTTTGGTAAAATGTAGTACAGCAATCACAGCAACATCAGACTTGAAAATCAGGGTAGAAGGTACTTCAGAACAAAGCTGTTGTACTAAAACAGGGCATGGTCTCTCCTCCCAGCTGCGGGTTCCAGTGGCAGTGGCAGTGCTGACAGATCTGTGCCAGGGAGGAGGGGAACCCTAAAAAAGAAAAAAGAAAATAACCCTAGCATAGCTGACAGCATGAAGTATAGGACTTCATATCTTGACCACCTAGGATGATGCAGACAAGAAGATCCCAGAGCTAGATCTTATTTTCTTATGTGTACCCTCCCGCTCTGGTGGTTAGAACCATTCCCATCCAACACCTATGCCAAGAACAGCCTGTGTAATTTGAGCTCTCCATAAAGTAGGCTGTGCTTGCTGGCAGAAAAAGCTGTGCCTCTACCCTCTTGATAGAACAAAACTAAAACAGTTTAATTAGCAAAATAACACTAATCTGTAAGAGAGAGCTGCCACCCCAATATTTACCTTGTTTGAGATTCCAAGGGAGCTGCAAGAAAGTTAAAATCCTTTTCCCCCTTTGATTATCCTTTTTCCTCTTAAGGATATAATTCAATTGCACATCAGTTGCCCTTCTGACAAGGAGGAAGAAAAGTCCACAAAAGATGTCTCTGAAAAGGAAGACAAGGACAAAAACAAAGAAAAGATCCCAAGAAAGATGCTGTCCAGAGGTGAGGAGTTTTTCCCATCTCTTATCTGTTCTAGGGCTGTGCCCTTTGCTTTTATCCTGAAGCCTGGTACCTGCTAGCCTTACTGGCCCATCAATTTGTAGTGTTCTGCTAACTTGGTTGCTTGAGGAGATGCCTAACTAGGTTACTTTCTTTGTTTCTGTAACTGAACCTGCCTTAGGAGCTCGCATGCCACAGACAGCTACTCCATATGCATTGGCATTATCCATGGGAGGACAATGTAGTCAATTCTGATTTTACTTGTGCTCTGGAATAATGGTGACATTGATCATCATTGGTAGCAAATCCTCCAGATGCCATTTATATTTTGGTTTGGGGATGGCTAGGGTGATATTTGTTTATTTATTTTTATTGTTATTTTTTTGAGACAGAGTCTCCCTCTGTCGCCCAGGCTGGAGTGCAGTGGCATGATCTTGGCTCACTGCAACCTTTGCCTCCCAAGTTCAAGCGATTTTCTTGCCTCAGCCTCCCGAGTAGCTGGGACTACAGGCACATGACACCACACCTAGCAAACTTTTGTATTTTTGTAGAGATATTTAGTTTCACTATGATGGCCAGGCTGGTCTCGAACTCCTAACCTCAGGTGATCTACCGACCTTGACCTCCCAAAGTGCTGGGATTACAAGTGTGAGCCACTGCACCTGGCCTGTTTTTTTTTTTTTAATAATGCAGATTTGTCTCTAATTATTCGACTGTCTTTGCCTTTAAACTCTTGTACTGGTAGCAAAAAGACATAGTCCATAAAAATGATCATTGATTAGAAAAGGCAAACAGGATTAAAAAATAATGTTTGGGCATATTTACTGAGATTCTGGAAAATTCAGCCCTGACTGCCCTTACCTGGAATTTATTTTCCTTAATAAAACCTGCTTTGTTTTGATCAGGACGTTCAGTAAATACCTATTGATGACAGATGGCTTTTCAGTGTAATATTGATGTAATACTATGGCCCAGATTGTTTCTTCTGTCATTTTGATGTGGAATTTTGGGATCTAGCACATCAAGGTCATTCTGGATTTTATGTTAAAACCCTGGAAGTTTGATTTTGCTTTCCTATTCTTGTATCTCTTGGTTAGGTTGTGGACTTCTGCTTAGGATTAGATAGCATGCAAAGCAGTTTCATTTATTTTAAATTTCTTTTGTTGTGGTGGTTCTAGACTCCAGCCAGGAATATACGGACTCCACTGGAATAGACCTACATGAATTTCTTGTAAATACACTGAAAAAGAACCCAAGGTAATAACATGATGGGTATAAGAGGAAAAGGGGTTAGAGGATAGCAAGATTCCAAGAGGCCAAATGGCTTTCCAGAATTTTTCCATTCTTAGAATCTAGGATGCTCATCTCCCTGTCCCCCCAGTATTTGTCAGGTATAGTTTTATATTCTGTGAGGGATTCAAAATACTCTCACATTGAGGTTTCTGTTTTCAGAAGAATTGGGGAAAATTCTGTGAAAGAAGAATGCAGAAACAGAGAAATATGAAGGCTTGGAAGTACAGTGATTAAAAAGCACACATTGGGAGTGATAGTAAGAGGAGCTAAAATAAAAAGCACAGAAAGAAAAAACAGTTGATTGTACATAAGCTAAATTATAATTCCTTTAAAATTCTGTATATAACAAGATGGAATATAGAATGACGATTAGATTTATAACGTGTGTTTATATGAATATGTTGCTAACAGTAAGATTTCTGATATGGTATAACAAAGTATATGATTGAAGGACCTGCAAAATGTATACTCGGGTTGTTTTTCTTTTTAAAAATATTATAAAACAGGCAAGTGAGGCTTAGCAGCGTTATGGTTCATTACTGGGTTTGGATATATACCTTTTTCAACTTCTATAATGAGCAAGTTGTGTTTTCAATCCCTGCTTTCAATGTCTATGGGAGGGCTGCTTTTTGTTTTGTTTTGTTTTAATCTTTTTTAAACAGGGACAGAATGATGCTGCTAAAATTAGAACAGGAGATTCTGGAATTTATTAACGACAACAAGTAAGTTACTTGCATGAAATACATATTTAGATGTGGGAGGGGGCACTGGAAATAAATTTAGGTACAATTTTAGGAGATGTTTCCCTTGAAGTGTGATTTTTGAAAACATACTGAAGTTTTTAAGTTATTATGTAGATTTCAGTTGAAAAATAATTTATATCTTTTCAGCAGCTCGCCCTTGTCCCAGATTTTACTATTCTTAAATGTCTTCCTTTTTCTTTATCAAACATCATCTAGGTGGGTGGGACCTAGGGCTTAATAAGTAGTCTTTTTTTTTTGAGACAATCTTTCTTTGTCGCCTAGGCTGGAGTGCCATGGTACAGTCTTCACTCACTGCAATTCTGCCTCCTGGGTTCAAGTGATTCTTGTACCTCAGCCATTGTGTAGCTGGGATGATAGGCACATGCCTAGTTAATTTTTGTATTTTTTGTAGAGACGAGGTTTTGCCATGTTGACCAGGCTGGTCTTGAACTCCGGAACTCAATTGATCCACCCGCCTCGGCCTCCCGAAGTGCTGGGATTATGGGCATGAGCCACTGCACCCAGCAATGAGTAGTCTTAATGAGGAAAGTAGGTCATAGTAATCTGCAGAATACTGTAGATAAAGAAACTGAGAGAAACCTGTTTGGTTCCCATTTAGTAAATATCCGTATTTCTTACGTCTGTTTCTCCTAAGAAACTTTCCACTTTAGACACTCGTAAGAAAAATTAAAATTGGTTTATTGCAGTTGTTTGTCTTATTTCACTTTTTTCCCCCGTGTTTCCCTTCAGTAATCAGTTCAAGAAGTTCCCTCAGATGACCTCATATCACCGGATGCTATTACACCGGGTAGCTGCCTATTTTGGGATGGACCACAATGTTGATCAAACTGGGAAAGCTGTCATCATCAACAAAACTAGTAACACAAGAATGTAAGGGAGGAAACCATGGTTTGGGAAGACTTCCTTGGGATAACCTGCTGGGTTGGAAGAGGAAGGTGTAGGATCAGGATGTCTCTTGCAGATGGCTGGGCGTGGTGGCTCACGCCTGTAATCCCAGCACTTTGGGAGGCCAAGATGGGAAGACTGCTTGAAGCCAGGAGTTCGAGACCAGCCTGGTCAACATAGCAAGATCCTATCTCTATTACTTTTTTTTAAAAAAAGTTTTAAAATGGCCGGGCGCAGTGGCTCACACCTGTAATCCCAGCATTTTGGGAGGCCGAGGCGGGTGGATCATGAGGTCAGGAGTTCAAGACCAGCCTGGCCAAGCTGTCTTGAAGCCAGCCTCTCTACTAAAAATATAAAAATTAGCCGGGCGCAGTGGCAGGTGCCTGTAATCCCAGCTACTCGGGAGGCTGAGGCAGGAGAATCGCTTGAACGCCGGCGGCAGAGGTTGTGGTGAGCCGAGATCACACCATGCACTCCAGCTTGGGTGATAGAGTGAGACTCCATCTCAAAAAATATATATATATTTTTAAGTATTTTGCCGGGAAGGGGTTTGAGGTTGGGGTTGGTTATATAATTAATTCCTACTCTTTCTGAGGCCTTGGAGATAGATTCTAGAGGGACTGGTGTTTCAGGAAGTCTGGCCTTAGCCTCTCTTCACTGATAGGACAGATATAACTATGGAGGAAGAGAAGTTATAGATGTATAAAGAACAGACCCTGAGGATTTCATTAAAACCTGCATGTGACTTTTTGGATTCCTTACTCCAGAAATTCCCTGAGTATGAGTTGTGTAATTTAGGAGAGCTGTACCTAATAGGTCTGCTTCCTAACAAAAGGGTCTTTGTCCTCCTTTCCTTTCACATTTCTCTCCAAATCTCAGCCCTGAACAGAGGTTTTCAGAACATATAAAGGATGAGAAGAATACAGAATTTCAACAGAGGTTCATTCTCAAGAGAGATGATGCCAGTATGGACCGAGATGATAACCAGGTGAAGAATGGAAAGGGGTGGGCCTATACAGAGAGATTGCAGTAAGAGAAACTGGGAAGGGAGAAGAATTTTTGTGGGATGGAGAAAACTCAAAATATCTTAGTACGGAGAAATGTATTGAGCTATACTGAGTTGGCTTTGGCTTAATGTTGAGAACTGTTTATTTGTTGAACTGGATGCCACCCTCTTAGCCCTAGAGAGACATGGTGCTGAGGTTTGCTAGGTGATCTCATTTGGCCTGGAACTCCTTGGGTCTGCCACTGACTTCTAACACCACATCATTTGGAATAAAGCAAGGTTGATCCCTGCCTCAGCCTTGATCCAGCTGTTGGTTTCATTCTTTTTTTTTTTTTTTTTTCTTTAATAGTTAGGGATTTCTTTGGGAACCACAAAAAGCTACTTTGTCCCACTTCAGCTCTTATCCTAGCTTAGGGCTAGCCTTGAACTGGCAAAGTTGTGATCTAATTTACCCAATTATAAAAGTGTTTCTGATCCCTTTCTGCAAACTCCTTAATCTTTTTCCAACTCCTTCCACCAAGGTGAGTGAGTTAATTTGACATTTGATGCTGGGAACCTCAGATAGATCCCCTTTGTGATCCACTGCTGTGGGAATAAGAAGGGAACAACCTATCCCGTCCCTTTAAATGGGCCTGGCTATTGCTTTGACCTCAAGCCTATCCTTTAGATAGTAAGTGATTATTTGGGGGTTAGCTAAGAAGGTTTAGATCCAGCCTGCCTCTGCTTGGCCTCCAAAAGGGATTAGATTTGAAGACCATGGTTGAGTAAAGCCTACATGAATCTTGCTAATTAATAACTATAATAATATCTTACCTCTAGTGTCAAAATTAGTTTTCTTGGGATATTATATGGTCTTGAGACCAGGACCTTTCCTGCTTGCTACTTGAGTATTTGAGGGAGTCCTTTTGAGAAAAGTGCCATTATCTACTGTGGACAAACACACTGGGACTGATTGAAAACAAAGAAACATACAAAAAGACAAAATTTTAAAAACGAGAAAGAGCCTTTCCATCCTGATGCCCTTCTCCATTTTCCAAAACCCTTTTTCTGTGGATCAGGAATTATTCAGGCCTAGAGGCACATTGGGGCAAAGTGGAGTCTGTCCCTATTGTGAACTTTTCATCTCTCAGCTTCAGGCTTGATCCAATAGGGTTGTTTCTGTGTACTTTCTGTCTGTGACGTTAATAATAAGCATAAAATTGCTATCTTATTGAGTGTTTTCCCTGAACTAGGCTGTGTTCTAAACACATTGTATGCATTATCTCTTTTAATCCTCTTCACAACCCAATACGGATGGGGGTTATTATCCCCACTTTACATATAAGAAAACTGAGGCTAAGAGATGTTAAGTTACTTGCGTAAAGTTATATTGCTGGGAGGTGGCAGAGCTGAGATTCTGCCTGACCTCAAAGGCCATTGTGTTCTTTCTACTTTGCCATTGGTTTACCTAGGGGCTGAGGACAATATAGCTCCTTGAGGTCCTGTGTCTTCTTGGAACTGAATTTATAAAAGGACATTTGGTAGGATTTAGGTTCTTGAAGCTAATGAGAACTAAATCTAGGCAAGGTTGATATTCTTGAAGTTATGGCTACCTTTGGAGATTGGTAAAGATCAAGAAGACCAGCCTAGAGCAGCAATCTCCTTAGTTGCTTCTTGTGAAGCTTTCAAAGCCTCTGGAGTGGAAGTCAGAATCTTTTATAATCTGGTGATATTCATTTGATGAGTTTTCTCCCTTAGAACTCCTTGCCTTCAAGAGCAGTACGGATAAGGATACTCTTATTACACCCTACCCTGGACAGTGTTGACCAGTTGCAGGCCAGGAGAGGAAAGATCATGATGAGGATTTAGATGGTAGGCTACTCAGAGGTGGTGATTTGCCCAGCCATCCCTTCTGGTTACCTCACTACATTTTCTAGAGAATGTAAGGTTCTTCTCTATCCTCCATTTTCTTCTTTTCCTTGTCGATCTCTCTCTCTCTCCCCTTCCTCCACTGTACCTTACTTCTCTTCCTTTCTCTGCCCCTCTTTCTATCTGTTCTCCTTTTCTTTCTCTTTGTTATTGCTCTGTTCTCTTTCTTCTTTATTTCTGTAATTTGTCTCTCCCCTTCCCCACCTCCAGTTAATATAGTTAAGATTAGGAAAAAAATGCTTAGACTTTGAGTTTAGCTTCGCCCTTGGGATTTCATTTCCAAGGCCCTCTTTGCTGAGCTGTGTGTGATTTGGGTCTTCAGGCCATGGCATTAGTGATTAATGAGGAATATTGCCAGGTGCTAGTTCTATAAACCTCCTCCTCTATGTTCAGCTCTGCTAAACACCTGTTTCTTCTCCCATTTCAGCTTCCGTCTATCCTTTGCTTTCCCTCTAAAGCAGTGTTGTCCCTTTTCCCAGGGCTATTTTCTCGATCCTTACTGACTGGAGGCTACCTGATTACTAGAGGGAAGCAACCCAGTCCTTATAAATAGTTGTTATTCTTGATACTGGGTGGGTGGGAGGGGTGGGGAGATGGAGAGTCCCCAGCCATCCAGAAAACCTGATCTCCCAAACTGCATGGTCAGATGTACCCAGTGAAACCTCTCCAGGACTGGAAATTTTATTCTTTTTTTTTTTTTCCATTTTTTTGATGGCAACTATAAACTTTCCCGGTTTCTCTTCCTTGCTGGTGTGCAGTGAGCTTGCAGTACGAGGAGAACTTAACTAGCTTAATTCTGCTCATCGATCTAGATCAGAGTTCCATTGCAGGATGGAAGGAGGAGCAAGTCAATAGAAGAGAGAGAGGAGGAATATCAAAGGGTCCGAGAGAGAATATTTGCCCGAGAGGTAAGTGTAGCATCTGAGAGTTGTCAGCCCATAGCTTTTAGCTCTTAAACGTTGGAACTGTGAATGGAATGAACCCTCCACAAATGTTTTTGGGTTTGTTTGTTTGTTTGTTTTATTTTAACCAACATCAGCCAACCCCAGATTTGATCTCTAAAACTAAATGTGGCTTATTGGGAAGCTGCAGATTTTCACTTATATTGTTTCAATACATTCTGCCATATGGTATACAAAGAGAACTAAAACTTGGAGTGGCTGAATTTGGTAAATTTGCCTAGACTGAAAATAGAAATGGTTTTGGCAGGGTCTGAATCTTGCCTCTAAAACCCTCCTCCTGCTTACCCTCTTTCACTCCCTCTATCCATTTTAGGCATCTTTGCTTCTAAGTGGAAGACATAGTGTTCACACAGGCTGTACATTCATCTTGTTTGACCAGCCTCGTTTTTAGGATATGTTGGTGATTGTTAGAGCACAGGTCTGGCATCCATTCTCTATGAGCTCCACATTCTGCATGCACAGAGAGTACCACTATTCCCTCCAGTCTCTACCTGAAAAGGAAGTCTCTTTCTTCCTATATTTCTTACCTTGCTTCCTACAGCAGGAGTAGCTCCTAGGGCTAAAAGCCAACATGAATCAGTTTAGGCAACGTTATTCTTAAATGTGTGGGCCACATCAAATATACTTGGTACCCCTGTATCTGGTTGCCTTTGCCTATCAGATTGAAGAGAAGAATAGCAGAAATTCAGGAAACATTGTGGGTGTACAAGAGGGAAACAAATCTCCAGAAAATGTAGTATCCAGATATGAGCACCATCTCACAATCACATGAGTAACAAAAGAGGGAAAACCAGTCTCCCTTCATTGTCAAAAGATGGTCAGGGTTTTCTTTGTTTTTTATTTTTATTTATTTATTTTTTTTTTAGATAGGGTTTTGCTTTGTCACCCAGGCTGCAGTACAGTGGCACAGTCACAGCTCACTGCAGCTTCAACCTCCTGGGCTCAAGCGATCCTCTTGCCTCAGCCTCCCGAGTAGCTGGGATTACAGGCACGCATTACCACGCCTGGCTAACTTTTTTATTTTTTGTAGAGACGGGGTCTCACTATGTTGCCCAGACTGGTCTCAAACTCCTGTGCTCAAGTGATCCTTTCACCTCAGCCTCCTAAAGTGCTGGGATCATAGGCATGAGCCACTGTGCCTGGCAAAAGATGGTCAGTTTTAATCAATATACTTAGATGAACACTACTCTCTTCCCATTCTCCCATTCTCCCCTTCTCACGAGGGAAATATAAATATATATAGATAGATATAGATATAGAGATATATATCTTTTCATCATCATCATTAGTTTAGAAAAATACTGTCTCCAACTAAAAAACTGAACAACTCTATGTACTTGCTCCATTGTCTCAGAGATCCTCACTGGGAACTGATATACAACAAACCTTCTGGCCCAAAGTCCAAGGAGAAGGAACCTTCTTACCTCAACTGTTGTGTAGACTTCCATTCTGAGTCAGAAAAGTCCATCTTCCAAATTATTCAATCATAGCCCAAAGAGGGTTCTCTACCTTTACCTACAAACCAACTAGATGGAATGAGAGGAGAAATTTGTACATGGCTGTGGCCAGCAGAACGGGTTGGTGGATAATAGTAGCAAGTACTGGTCGGGTGCAGTGGGTCACGCCTGTAATCCCAGCACTTTGGGAGGCCGAAGCAGACGGATCACCTGAGCTCGAGAGTTCGAGACCAACCTGACCATCATGGAGAAACCCCGTCTCTACTAAAAATACAAAATTAGCCAGGCATGGTGGCACATGCCTGTAATCCCAGCTACTCAGGGGGCTGAGGTAGGAGATTGCTCGAACCCGGGAGGCAGAGGTTGCGGTGAGCCAAGATTGTGCCATTGCACTCCAGCCTGGGCAACAAGAGCAAAACTCCGTCTCAAAAAAAAAAAGAAAAGAAAAAAAAGCAGCAAGCACTTATATAGCACTTACTATCTTTTAGGCATTGTTCTTAGTACTTGATATAGATTAACTCAGTCCTCATAGTAGGCCTATGAAGTAGTTTATATTATTTTCCTCATTTTATAAATGAGGAACTAAGGCACACAAAGGTTAAACAACCACCTAAGTTCACACTGCTAGTTAGCAAAAGAGCTAAGTATTTGAATTCAGCCTGGCTCCAGAGTCTACGCTCTTAACCCCCTAATGTAAACCACCTCTCAATAGCTTGCTCTGCTCTGGGCTCTTTAGATTAAGAAGTACCAGTGACATCGTAACCTAACTGACTATCTGTGATGTGTTCCTCTGCTTCACTTACACATGGAAAATGACTGCCCCACTATGATAGCCATTAGCAAAGCTACAGATGTTCTGAAAGCACAGACAATTTATACTAGGGTATTGGAGCTAATTATGTACAACACTGGACTGTATCTACCTACAACTATAACAAAGGCAAAGTTAGCTCTTCTCTTTTTTTTATCCTGATTTCTAGTCTTCAAGCCTCTACTAATGTATGTATTCTTCGTTAGATCCTTGTAGATTTATCACTTTGATTTCAGCACTTCTAACTCTTGTAGTGGTAGAGGCATCAGGAATCTCAGAAAGTCTAGACAAGGAACTATGGCCAAAGCCCATCATACTCCAAAGATTCCAAGTGGAGAGGAGCCTGGCTAAAGGAAGCTGATTAGGGGTGGAGTTGTGGGGTTGGGTGTGGGAGCAGGAGGCAGCCCATAAAGAAAGGAAGTGGCAAGAAGGGTGTTTGGATGGAAATGCTGCTGCTGCAGCCTTCTCTGGAGCCTGAGCTATATATTGGAAAAGCTGCCCAGCATAGGCTCTGCTCTGCATGGAGCTCACTCTGCTCAGCAGCTGGACACTCTTGGTACCTTTTCCTAAAGCTTGGGAATCCACCACAATGCTCACTTCACTCAGCTCAGTGGCTTTGTCAGGAAATGATCCCCAAAGGGAATGTTTCAGGCTTTTAATTTTCTCATTTTTTCTAGGCCCTGAAAAGTACCTCTTCCACAATATCCCACCCTCCTTGGGTCTCAGGTCAGAATGTCTTTCATTTTGGCCAATGTAGGAAACAGAAATGGAAAAGCCATTGAGGATGATTTCCAAAAACAAAGTTTCTTTCTCTTGTCTCCCTTTTCCCTTCCTTTGAACACACACTTTAGGACCGAGGACATGAGTTGTTATTCCCAGGTTACCAATAAATTTAGAGCTAAAAAGGAAATAATAATTAGGTTAATACTTTCCTCTTCCTCCTTTTCACACTCCTGCCTTTGTCAGCCTCTTTTTTTAAAAACACCTATCCGAAGGCTAAAACCACCAAATGCTCTTTCCCATTAAAGGTGAGAAGTCAGATTGGGTATGTGGGTGTGGGTCATCCTGTCCCTGGCCCCTCTCTCCCTGTTGGTGGGGTGAGCTTTGGTTTGAGGACCTTGGGTATTCATAGCATCATGGACATCCTTTTCGGTCATGCCATGCTGTTTTCTTATAAGTTATTTTCCGTTTTCTCCCCCTCACCTAGACTGGCCAGAACGGATATCTAAATGACATCAGGTTAGTACCACTTAGCATGTTCCCTGCTTCTCATTGAGCTTTGCCAGTGAGGTTAATATAATCCTGTAATGATGCTTTTCTTTGATGTTAACCAACAGACTCTCCAAAGAAGCCTTTTCTTCTAGCTCTCACAAGAGAAGGCAGATTTTTAGGTACCTCTGTGTGATCTATATCTCTCCTTTTTATTTTTAATTTTATTTTGTTTTGCTGTAATCTTTTCAGCAGAGTGGGTTTGCTCCATGCATGGCTGCTTGTGGAATAATTAAATTTGTGGTTTTTGCAACATTGGATATTTTTCCCCATTAAAAAAAAAATGGCTCCTGGTCAATGACTTTATTTGTATTGTTGCTGATTTCATTTTGAGTCCTAAATAGGTGGTGAAGGGGACCAAATAGGTGTGTCTGGGATAGGTACAGCTTCCTCCCAGAAATTTGCTGGAATTGGGCATTTTTGAAAGATTCAAACATATTTATAGTAAGGTAAAAGAATGGGCGTCTTCTGGCTAACCTTTTCTGAATCTGTTGAAAAGATGTGTAGACATTATTCCTGACCCAGCATATCTTAAAGATATCTTTAAGAAAAAATAACACATATATATATATAGAGAGAGAAAGAGAGAGAGACACATATACGGACACCTCTATGTATGTAGTTTTCTCTTGAGGCAATGTAATGTGTAAGAAAGATGACCTCAGAAAGGACCTGGCCAGGCACGGTGGCTCAGGCCGGTAATCCCAGCACATTGGGAGGCCGAAGTGGGTAGATCACGAGGTCAGGAGTTCAAGACCAGCTTGGCCAAGATGGTGAAACCCTGTCTGTACTAAAAATACAAAAATTAGCCAGGCGTGGTGGTAGGCACCTGTAATCCCAGCTACTCAGGAGGCTGAGGCAGAGAATTGCTTGAACCTGGGAGGCAGAGGTTGCAGTGAGCCGAGATCACGCCACTGCACTCCATCCAGCCTGAGCAACAGAGCAAGAATCCGTCTCAAAAAAAAAAAGGGACCTGTCTGCCTTAGAATGGACTTAAAGTGTGTCCTTCATATGATCATTACTTACTCTGAATGCTGGTGCAACCTGTTGTATTAACTTCCCCAGTTCCCAATGTTCTCCATTTCCCCGCAAAGCAGGTATACTACCCTCCCTTTCATTTCAGTCTCTCAATCCTACCCCAGAGGATAATACAAGGCAGTGTAAATAGAATAGGGTCTAGTCTGTTACCAACTCATTTTAGGTATATTCTTCCCAATTTACCAATAGAAAAACTAGAAAATACTGAGAACCTGAGTATTTAACACTAGAATTCAGGTCTAACCCCTTTTCCAAAGGGTTTCTCTCTTACTGACTACTACACTTGATAAGGACTGTCTGACTAACTCAGATTTGAGATCTCACTCCTAGTACTCTAGTTGTCCTTTCTCTGTTGTCCTTTCTAAAGCTAGCCAAACCATGTGGAAATTGGGATAGTGAGATTTCCCATTCTTAGGTAGAGGATTTTCCATCTTTCTCAAGTCTTTTTTTCTTAGGCTATCCTGCCCTGCAGTTCATCTGAAAACCCCAGGCAGAGAGGGCCTTGCATTGTTGGTGGTAGTAGAGATAGATCGAGTCCCCTTCATTAAAAACAAAAAACAAAAAAACCAAGATTCCTGTTTCACAGTCTACACTTTGGGGTCATAGATCATCCCAGGATAACTATAAGAAATAGGAGTTTTAAACCAACTCCTATGTGTGAATTAATGCACAGTGCTTTACAGTCACCAGAGTATACTTTATCTGATTCAGTTCTCTCAACATCCTAATTTGGTCAGCTGGTTTACATGTAAGAAGACAAAAGCAGAGAGATTAAGTGAATAGCCCGAGTTTACATGGCTAATAGAAGCAAAAATGGAGCTGATTCGTAGTTTAGTGTCCTCTTCACTACACCACACCAGCTCTCTACAGATGTCACCCCTTCCTCTCTTAGTAGTGTTACATTTGGAGCCCTAATCCAGATTCACTGATTAGAATGATGCTCTTTTTAGTGCTGTGGACCATCAGACTACATCAAACTGCAGATAATAGTTTGAAAGATCTACTGAGCAGGTGCAGCCCTTTCCTCTCCAGACTTCTTTTTTTTCTTCTCTTTTTTTTTTTGAGACGGAGTTTCGTTCTTGTTGCCCAGGCTGGAGTGCAAGGGCGTGATCTCGGCTCACTGCAACCTCCGTCTCCCAGGTTCAAGCAATTCTCCTGCCTCAGCCTCCTGAGTAGCTAGGATTACAGGCATGCACCACCACGCCCGGCTAATTTTGTATTTTTAGTAGAGATGGGGTTTCTCCATGTTAAGGCTGGTCTCAAACTCCTGACCTCAGGTGATCCGCCCACCTCGGTCTCCCAAAGTCCTGGAATTACAGGCGTGAGCCACCACGCCTCTCTAGACCTTTTAAGCTACTGGTTTTCAAACTGAGCTTTGATTGATGATCTAGGTCATCTAAAATGCAGCATCATGGGCACTTAAGAGAATAATTTCTTCCTCTACTTGGATACTAGTCCAAAATGCTAATGTTTAGAAGCTGATCTTCTCTAATTGCTTTACACCTTTCTGGCCCAGTTTATGTTTGTGAAACAAATACCTGTAAACCAAACTCCATCATCCACATTGACAATAACATGGCAGCTCCCCAGTTCTTTGGAAGAGTCTGCTCCATTGACAAATAAACCACAGTGAGGCCTTACTGATGTTTATTGCCACCTCTTCGACAGGCATCTTTACCCATTCCCCAGACCCAACAAGCTGAACTTTTCACCAGCACTAAATCTGCTTGTAAAAACTAATCAGCTGTGATGTTATACGAATATGAGATGTGACTGCTCTTTATCCTTTATCTCCATCTCTCCAACATACACACAATCCAATATAGTGCTCAGAATTGAATCTGGGTAGCTTTCCCTAATTATTTTTATTTGTAGAGAGGGAAAATTGATCTTTTTCCTGCCAAGACTCAACTTAGATTCTCCAAGTCTCAGGGTAGTAGTGTGCTAACCCAGGTTAGTCAGAAGATCATCAGGCAGTCTACATTTTGAGCGTTTGGTCATCACTGTCTTGGGGAAACTGGATTAGTATAGAAGTGCTGCCATTTTGGCCCTAACTTTTCAAGGTATTTGGTTTAAAGTTGCCTTGTTCACTGTCTACCTCTAGTAGCAAGAGAAAATAAATGGCAGGATTTCCTTTTCAGTGGAAAAGGCCTTTAGGACTTGTCTTGCAAAATTCAAGCTCTAATGTCTAATGAGCAGCCTCATCTATTGCCACTGCTGTATTCCCTTACCCCACAAACACTCATTTTTATTGAGTCCTCTTAGTATACTTGCCTTTGTCCATTGAGATGTAGCTATTGTCTCTCACTTCAGGTCTGGTTTTGTTCCTGAAGAGTACCTAACTTACACTTCTTTCTTGTTTCCCATTCTACTTTTGACATTCCAAGGAAAGGGGTAAAGCTTTGGAGAAACAAATATTTTTTAATTCGCTAACTATATAGAGAGAGGCATTTAAGTGCTTACACACACACACACAGACACACACACACACTCACTCTTGGGGTTGCAGAGAAGAATTAGCATGTTCCTAACCCGTTGTGCCAGTGTATTCTTAGCTCATCGTGATTGGCTTCACTAAAACCTAAAAGAAGGACCCTCGCATGTATTTTGCCCATTTTTTCTACAGTGTCTTTAGCGTAGGTATTCTAATAAAGAAAGGTGTTTTCTTCAATATTAACACGCTTAAGAAAAACGCCTTTCTGTATTAAAATAACTCTGAGCCTAGTGCCTTTGGAGCCAGTGGGATTGGAATGGGATTTTCTATTTGCTTTTGAGGGGATGGTGGTAAAAAGAAGGGAGCCCAAACTACAATGATTTTTTGCTTAATTATTCCTTGGTATACCTACCAAAATCTGTAATTGTTATCATTTGGTTTCCTTAGGTCATTAGTTGTTGGGGATGTGGGGTATGAAAGAAAAATTGCTGGGTCTTTGTTGCTTAATGATTAAGAAGCAATGAGAGCTCAACAAGACAGGGTTTTCAGGCCAACCTGGCTATCTTGAGGCATACAGCTGTTAATAATCAGACAGTGATTGTAACATCACGATAACCCTGATGTTTCCAGAGCCAAATAAGAGAGGGAGAATCCCTTTCCTTAATAGTTTTGCTTAGGGAGATAGGATTATGAATATGAAGGCAACTAGGCACAGTCAGCCCCCCTGCTCCTTGCCCTCCTGAGTCCCAAGAGCGTATTTGCTGAAGACTTTAGCGCTTAGAGATCCTGAAACCAATTGTTCGCAGACAGTAACATGGAATTTCCACAAAACAGGTTGGATCAATCCTAGACTATCAAACTGAGTTTTCCATAGTGCCCCTTTAGTTCACTATACTCTTCTTGCAACTCCTGGAAGGGTGGCCATAAGCAGCACCTCTGCTGGCTTAGACATGTGGACATGTGTTATGTGGAAGACCCGTTGTGGGTTTTATCCATGTCATTGGCTACTCCTGTCTTTTAGCAATAGCAACTTCTAGGAGTCCTTTTATTTTAAGAACTTTCAGAAGAAACTGGTATCCCTCTGTTCCCCATTATTTCTTGCATGTGTGGGATTACCCTCAGAGGGTGGGGAAGAGACCACAGCCAATCTCAGCATCATGTATATGGTTTCCCATCCACCTCTGGTCTGATGTATTAAATTAGTTGCCAGCACACTGTCTTCCAGATTTGCCTCTGTGTTATTTGTTACTGTACTGGATCTTGTTCTGTCTGCTCTCATCAACACTTAGTTGGCCAGCCAACTAACAATAAGTCAGTGTCCATCCTCCCTTTAATTCTTATTCATTCTTTATTATTGAGAGAATAGAAATGAATTATCTCCTAGCCCTTCTGCTAAAATGGTGGGTGGGAGGAGCTCTGACCACTATGGTCTCTGCAGGGGGAACCGTGAAGGGCTGAGCCGTACCTCAAGCAGCCGCCAGAGCAGCACAGACAGCGAACTCAAATCCCTGGAGCCACGCCCTTGGAGCAGCACAGACTCTGATGGCTCTGTCCGGAGCATGCGACCCCCTGTCACCAAAGCCAGCAGCTTCAGTGGAATCTCTATCCTTACCCGAGGTGACAGTATCGGCAGCAGTAAAGGCAGCAGTGCAGGAAGGATCGCCAGGCCAGGTATTACAGCTTCTTTTCTTCCTGTCATATCCATCCCTTCTTGCTTGTCTCCTGTGAAACATCACTGTTACTTAACTTTTTTTTTTTTTTTGAGACAGTCTCCTCTGTTGCCCAGGCTGTAGTGCAGTAGTGTGATCTCAGCTCACTGCAACCTCCGCCTCCCGGGTTCAAGAGATTCTCCTGCCTCAGCCTCTTGCATAGCTGGGATTACAGGCTTGTGCCACCACGCCTGACTAATTTTTGAATTTTTAGTAGAGGTGAGGTTTCACCATGTTGGTCAGGCTGGTCTCGAACTCCTGGCCTGAGGTGATTCACCTGCCTCAGCCCTCCAAAGTGCTGGGATTACAGGCGTGAGTCACCGTGCCCAGCCCTTATTTACTTTTAATAAAACATTTGTCCCAGTATAGTTTCCTGGAAATCTAATACAGCCATGCAAAGGGAAATTTGAATTTTGGATCCATTGTCCTTGCTTGGATTTAGTCCTCCTCATTTTCTTTCAAACCTTATGCCTGATTGAAAAAAAGAAAAAAAAAAAAGAATTGATTGTGATTAGATTATTTTCTTTGATTTTCATCTAAGGTGGAACATCCATATCAGCCTAGGTCTCAAGTTATATACTAAGATAAAAATGATAGCCACTTTCATTCTGTGACTCTTGAGATTGTAGAGGCTTTGTAGAGCAGAGGGAATCCTTAGAGTTTAGTTGTTTGTAATTAATTGATACTAGCCAATAGGCTAGAATTTAGAGGGATGCTGCTATGGCTGCTTCCCTGGAGCTCAGTCACTGGAAAGGAGCAGACATTTCTATGTTCCACATGAAAGCTCTGTAACCACCCATCAGCTCTCCATCTATTTCTGCTGCACTCTTAGCAGAAGGGCATTTAGACCTCTTATTTCATCATCCTTCTCTCTTTGAAGAATTGCTTGAATCTCATCCCAGAAGTTCTGTAGTTATTATCAAAAGGCATCAGTAGTGCTGAAGATTTTGCCTCTGACCCCTAGGTCTCTGCTGCCCTTCTCTGTTACCTCCTTTCTAATCCCACTGCCTCAGCCTTTATCCAGGCTTTTATTTTCTTTTATGTAACTATGACACTGGTGCCCAAACTGATATCTCTACTCCATTCTCAGCTCTTTTTATTGATTTTTTTTTTTTTTTTACTTTTTCAAGAGTTGGGGTCTTGCTATCACCCAGGCTGGATTGCAGTGGCACCATCATAGCTTACTGCAGCCTTGAACTCCTGGGCCCAAATGATCCTCCCACTTCAGACTCCCAAGTAGCTGGGATTACAGATGTGAGCCATTGTGCCTGGTTGCTTAGCCCTTTTTAGAGCCAGTTTGCCAATCTAAAACAGATCTAAACACATCAGTGCTCCTTAAAAATGTTCATTTCTGCATCATCACCTGAATAGTAAAATCCAAACTACTTAATATAACATAACTTTCTGACTCCGGTTTGCCATTGCTGTCTAATATCCAGATCTTTCCTTCTTTCCAACCATTTCTTTCTTTTTCTTTTTTTCTTTTTTTTTGAGATGGAGTCTCGCTCTTGTTGTGCAATGGCATGACCTTGGCTCACTGCAACCTCCGCCTCCCAGGTTCAAGCGACTCTCCTGCCTCAGCCTTTCAAGTAGCTGGGATCACAGGCACCTGCCACCATGCCCGGCTAATTTTTTGTATTTTTACAAAATTTTGGTAGAGATGGGGTTTCACCATGTTGGCCAAGCTGGTCTCAAACTCCTGATGTCAGGTGATCCACCCACCTCAGCCTCCCAAAGTGCTGGGATTATAGGCATGAGCCACCACACCCACCAACCATTTCTTGAATATGACATTAGCTTTGTTCCCTCTTGGTCTTACAAGCATCTGTCATTCTTCAACCCCAGCTTTCCTGCTGACCTCTCTTTAAATCCTTTCCTGACCCTCCCAGGAGTTTTTGCTTCCTCATCTTTGCTTTCATACAACTTTGTCAATATCACTGATGTATTCCTTATCCTTACCAGATTATAATTGTCGTGCGGATGTCTATCTCCCATCAGAAGTGCCTGTGCTGTTGGCCAGGCATGGTGGCTCACACCTGTCATCTTAGCACTCTGGGAGGCAGAGGCAGGCGGGTCACTTGAGGCCAGGGGTTCGAAACCAGCCTGGCCAACAAGGCAAAACCCCGTCTCTACCAAAAACATCAAAATTAGCTGGGCGTGGTGGTGGGTGCCTGTAATTCCAGCTACTTGGGAGGCTGCGGCAGAAGAATCGCTTGAACCTGGGAGGTGGAGGTTGCAGTGAGCCAAGATTGTGCTACTGCACTCCAGCCTGGGCGACAGAGTGAGACTCTGTCTCAAAGAAAGAAATAAGTTCCTCTGCTGTTAAGGGCAAGGACTGTGTTTCACTCATCTTTATGTCTTTAGTTCATTATACAGTGCCTGGCACATAGTAGATATTCAGTAAAAGTATGTTGTGTTGAATGAGTTCATGCCTTGAGAGCCTAGAAATGTGGAAAATAGTTGGATAAAGTTATGTGTATGCATGTGCCCATGTGTATGCTTGAAGTTTTCTCAGCAACTTTTTTTTTTTTTTTTGAGACTGAGTCTCACTCTTGTTGCCCAGGCTGGAGTGTCATGATGCGATCTCAGCTTACTGCAACCTCCACCTCCTGGGTTCAAGCGATTCTCCTGTCTCAGCCTCCCAGGTAGCTGGGATTACAGGCGCCCACCCCCAAGCTCAGATAATTTTTAGTAGAGATGGAGTTTCACTGTGTTGGCCAGGCTGGTCTCAAACTCCTGACCTCAGGTGATCCACCCGCCTCAGCCTCCCAAAGTGCTGGGATTATAGGTGTGAGCCACCACACCCGCCCCTCAGCAACTTTTATAAGAGATGTTGCAAATTGAGAAGAAAGCAAAGAGAAAACAGATCTCTCTCTGTCTCTAGCAAGAAAACAGATCTCTCTCTCTCTCTCTAGCAAAATCTCTCTAGCAAAAAGACAGATCTCTTAAGAGACCAAAAATCTGTGCTTTCCCAGAAAGTAAGCATTCATGTTTTCAGCTATCTAAGTGTGATGGACAGATTCCAGGCACTTCAGGGGAGGTGCTTCAGCAGCCTCACATTTTGTTCAATTTCATAACCAAACATTGACAGTCAAGGTGGTTCCTGTCCCTAGGGAGCAAAAGCCTGCAAAGGGGAGGACTGGCATCAGCAAGGCAGCTGAAATGCATCTGTGCTTATATGTGAATCTTCAAAAGACAGTAGGGGAGGGGACAAAAGGGAATAAAGAGGAAAGACAAAGAAAAAGTAGAGCCCTCTAAGCCTTCCAGGGATAATGTGTTCATGGCTTGTGCTTAACAACTTTTCGTGGGTTTCTTCTTTGCCTTAGGTATGGCACTAGGTGCCCCAGAAGTGTGCAACCAGGTCACCTCATCCCAGTCTGTCCGGGGCCTTCTCCCTTGTACTGCCCAGCAGCAGCAGCAGCAGCAGCAGCAGCAACTTCCTGCTCTCCCGCCCACGCCTCAGCAACAGCCACCCTTGAATAATCACATGATCTCACAGGTGAGTCACCACTCAGTGTCAGAGTCCTCTCCACTCTGATTCAAGCAAACTTTAGATGTACCGTCATGTTTCTTGTGCTGTGGGTGGCAGGAAGGATCAGTTTTTGGAGACATGCCACTCTCTCCCCCATTTCTCATTTGTTAGTTGTGGGGAAAGAAGAACCTTGGGCAAAGATTTTGCCGAATAACTCTTAGTAGAGTCAGCTTGGGGGTTTTTTGCTTTATATTTCTTCCTCTGCCTCCTGAACATTGTCAGTAGAATCTTTTATTTCATACCACATTTCTACTATGCCCCATCTCCCTCTATGTCCGTGTGTAATTAACAAGGCATTTTTTTCCATTACATCTATATATGGAACTTGAAAAGATTATAACTTCCACCATCATCTGGCCAACTATGTGGACCCTTAAACACGTATTTATGTGTTGGGGTTTGGGGAAAAAATAAATAACACTCAAGACCCCTGCCATACATATGTCATGAAACACAAAGACTCCAAATGTTGTCTTTGTTTTCCATGACTCAAAAGGGCTGTATCCTTCTCATTCTGTTGCTGGACTGGTAAATGTTGGTACCAACTAGAGTTTAAGTGAAGTTTTGCATCTGTGGAGACCAGGAAGGTCATCTAAGAATCAGGTCCTGTTCTAAACCAGAACTTTAGTATTCTGTTTTATTTTTTTCTTTTAATTTTTAAAAAATGTATTGTTGTTACTATTATTTTGAGACAGGATCCTGCTTATGTTGCCTAGGCTGGTCTCAAACTCATGGGCTCAAGTGATCCTCCCTCCTCATCCTCCTAAAGTGCTGAGATTACAGGCATGAGCCATCATGCCTGGCCAGTGTCATTAACATGACTATGTTTAAAAGTCACCTTAAGGCCGGGCGTGGTGGCTCAAGCCTGCAATCCCAGCACTTCGGGAGGCTGAGGCGGGTGAATCGCCTGAGGTCAGGAGTTCAAGACCAGCCTGACCAACATGGTGAAACCCAGTCCCTACTAAAAATACAAAAATTAGCCAGGTATGGTGGCGGGCGCCTGTAATCCCAGTTACTAGGGAGCCTGAGGCAGGAGAATCGCTTGAACCCATGAGGCGGAGGTTGTGGTGAGCTGAGATCGCGCCACTGCTCTCTAGCCTGGGTGACAGAGTAAGACCCTGTCTTAAAAAACAAACAAAAAAAAGTCACCTTAATAATCTGAGCAGAGCTGTGCTGAGATCTTCACTTACTCTCTTCTCACATGAATAGAGCTCTTTGTGAGGAGAGCCCCATACTTTATCCTGAAGTATTCTCTTGTAGCTGGGAAGCCTATATGTCTGCGGTCTTTTCTGCTGCAGTTTACATTGTCATTTCACCTCCCAGGCTCCCTTATCCCCCTGCTTATTAGTCCAGCTTGGCCTTAGATATATTTCTTCCCTAGGTGTAAGAAGCAAGTCCCAAACACTAATACCCCATGAACTAGAAACTAGAGTGCAAAGACCCCAGAATGGCCCAGTATTGCCCTATCTCAAATATTGTGAAATGAAGCTGAAATAAAGAACAGTGAAGATCTAGGAAATCCTACTTTGTGTCTAAATGTAATTTGCATGCAAGTCATTGCAGCCCTCTATCTTAGTCTAAGTCAGTTCTTTCTATAGTCCTAACTTTCTTGTTCTACCACCATCTACCCCAGTAAGTCTCGTTCGCTTCAGTTTACCTTGCTCCCTACTGAAGCATAGTGTGTTTGTGTTCTTTTCTCTGTCTGTGTCTTAATTCAAACCTGTAAGTAGGTAAACTGTGCTTCTCCTTCTGCTGTCTGCTACTGTGTTTTTTTATGTGTATGACTTGCTTTTCCAAAGTCCTAATATTTTCTGGGGTTTTTTCCCCTAAAAGGTGTATTTTAATAGTCTTGCTCCCTTTTCTCCCTCTTAGTCTCCCATCTGCCTCCACCTTCCACCTATCATCTCATACCTAGAAACAGACAGCAAGAGTGGGAGAGGAATAAAGAGATAAGAGAAGAACCATTTGGGACTGAAATTTATACAGAATGTCCAAGTGACTGGCCCTAAACCCCAATCTTCTACTCAGGTTCTATTCCTGCTACTGGATTGTGAGGGTCAGTTGGTCGATCGTTGGCTTGGCTTATCTCCTGTGGGGAGTGTGGTGCCAGGTTAGGTGCTATAGCTTGGGGGTAAGGGAACACTACTTAGTGCAGAGATTCGTGTTCTCTTCGAAATTCATTCTTGAGATTAATTGTGATCACTAACTCCAAATGAAAGAATCTTATCCAAGTTTTGATGCCCTATAAGCATTTATGGAAGCTGCTAAAAATTATCCCACCTTCTCACTGTATGTATCTCCTTTTTTCTTCTTCTCCACTTTTTCACCCTTTTTATTTTTTTACTCTTCTTTCTACTGCCATTTTCTTTCTTTCTTTTGCTTTCTTTTTCCCTGATTGGCCTTCAGCACTGGGGGTTTCCTAGACCGAAGCTGCTGAGCCTGAGAATAATTATTGTTCAGTTTCTAATGGCACATAACTGTGCACGGATTAAAGAAGTGATCATGTGCACACACAAACACCACTGTGCTTATTCTAAAGCTTTTCCTGTAGAAGAAAAACTTTGAGACTGGGTGCGGTAGCTCACGCCTGTAATCCCAGCACTTTGGGAGGCTGAGGAGGGCAGATTACTTGAAACCAGAAGTTTGAGACCAGCCTGGCCAACCTGGTGAAGCACCGTCTCTACTAAAAATACAGAAATTAGCTGGGTGTGGTGGTGCACGTCTGTAATCCCAGCCTCTTGGGAGGCTGAAGCATGAGAATCACTTGACCCTGGGAGGTAGAGGTTGCAGTCAACTGAGATTGCACCACTGTACTCCAGCCTGGGCAACACAGCGAGACTCTGCCTAAAAA